TCCCCCCCCCCCCGGCAGTGCCCGCGATCGCAAAGTCCAGGAGCGCCATCCTCCCTGGTACCTCCTCCACAAACTGCCTGAGGCGGAGGCCGGGGCTGCTCCGGTCTAGGACTCCGAGGCCCGCCTGGCCCTCTGTCCCATAGCTCCAAAAGGAGGGGCCGAAGGGCCAAAGGTGCTGGGCCGCCACATGGTGACCCTCCTGCAGGAAGTGAGTCTCCTGGAGGATGATGATATCTGCGGGAAAGCCACAGAGCGCTTCTAGGAGCTCCACGCGGTGCACCGCCTGCTGTAAACTACCACAATTCCAAGTGGCCATCATGAGGCCCGAGTCCCCTCCTTTCCCCTTGGGGCCAGAGGCATGGGACGAAGTCTGTGGACACATGACTGTGAGGGCCGGGAACGCGAAGTGGAGGAAGGAGAGGGGGCCCGAGAACCAAAATTGCCGTGGCTGCTCCCAGTACCATGCCCCATGCTAAATGACAGGTGCACGGCCCGAGGCCAGTACACTCCCCCTCGGCGCTGTCCTGTCCCTGATCGACCAATGGAGAGGAGGGGACGCTCTCCCAATATGAGGAGAGGAAAAGGGAGAAAGAGGGAGTCACCAGACCTGCAGCCTCACCTTTCAAGGTGGCTGGGAGGGTGTGCCCCTCAGCGGCAGACAAGGGAATGCCCCCTGGGGTGGGAGGGCAGGGTTGATGGGCTGACGAACACCCCCTGCTCCACCAAGACTGGCTCCCCCTCTCTGCCAGCACCACCACTCAATGGAGCGACTGCCAAACTGGAATCAGCAGCTGGACCTGGGGGCTCCTCTGACCACCCCAAAGCAAATAGGGGCCCCGAGTCCAACACTGGGGGTAGAAGGTGACCCCCCTCATCCCACGCCAGAGCATCGTCCCCCTCCCGTGAGGAAGGACTCTGTACCATGCTCCTGCCCACCGGGCGTGCTCCACCAGCTCCTGCGTCAGCTCCAGGAACCGGCGAGCGGGCAGGTCCTCAGCTTTACAGGGCCCCGAATCCACGACCAGGGTGGACATAGCCCCCTGGAGGGCACCCAGAATGGTGTGGTGGCTCCCGGCCACTGAACCCGAAGGGGCCTCCTGCAAAGAGGGAGTTGGAGCCACCGCAGGTGCTTCACACCTGACACCCCTCCGCCATCCCTACGCCGACGAACCATCAGAAAAGGCCTATCCCTGTCCGTCTCCATGGCTTCCAGACCCACCCCTTCCTGTGCCAAAACGACAGCCCCTAGCCTGTCTGAAGGGTGTGGGCTGAATGCAACAGTACTCTTGCCATCTCCCAAAGCCCCCAACAGAGCACCCCCAACCGTCCGACGTCCTGAAGCCAGCTCTTCCGGACTCCCCCTCCTCTACCCCTCTGCAGACTGCTCCCTGCCTGCGCGAAACTGTGTAGCATGGTTCGCCGCTGCCCATGGACAGCCAGCATAAGTGTGCCCGGGAGCCCGCAGAGATTGCAGCAGACAGCCGCCTGGCACACTGCTGCGACATGGCCCCGCTGTCTGCCCTGAGCACAGAGGGGTGTCACACATGCCCGCCTCTGGTGGTCGTATGCTCTGCAGCTAAAACATGCCGGGGGCTGCCCCACGTATCGCGTTACTCCCCGCTTGTTCCCCAGGTAGAAGAACTTGGGGAGGTGATGTGCGCCACCCGGAGGGAAGCACAGCACAGCCCGCACTTCCCCCGTCCAGATGCCTGCCTCATCCCGCACCTTAATGGGCGCAGTGAGCAATGCACCAAAATAGCCCAACCACGTCACCACATCCAGCAGCGGGACGAGGTAGGAACAAAAAAAAACAGACCGTCCACACATCTCCTTCAATGACGAAGGAGACGCGGAAACCCACGAGCAACTTGGACTGGAGCCGTGCCAACTCATGACACCCCCAGGCAAAGAGGGAGAACGCCGCGAAGGAGAGGCAGCACATGTCTACCTCCTTCGACTCGGGAGGCTGGATAACCGCCGCCAGTAACCGCACATCAAAGTTCAAGGTGGACTGGATTAGGGACTGGACAATGAACCTCCGTGGTGGGAAGCCCACCTCTGTCCCCATGTACCGAAAATGGAGAACATACTGCTCCCGCACCAAAGGGCGGAGTGAGCGGATGCCCTCCTTTCCCATGGTCTCGGCAGGTGGCATCCAGGCAGCCTCTGGGTCAATGCCCACTGAATGGAGGTATCAGGAGTCTGCACACTCATTCCCAAAACAGTAAATCTCCTGGAGTCTAAGTAGTTCCATTAAAGATTCCTTTATTAAGAGAAGTGCACAGCATCCATAGTTTGTTGAGTCTAATTCTACAAAGCAAAACTTTCCCTTTTTGAGCCCAATTCCCCCCCCTTCTCCTTTCTTTTCCTGCGCCTTCCTCCGAGTCTCACGGTTGCTTGACCTTGTTGGGGCCTCTGTAGAGATAACAGTAGCACTTGGCTTGGTATCTTCCTCCCCCTTCTCCTAACTTCAATGGCAGGAACAAGCAAGCGGCCCGCAATTAACATTCTAACCATTTAACCGTTTAATATACATTGCTAGACTAAATTAAAAGCAACTATGGTTTCTAGCTTGCGAGATCCTAACAGGAGGACCCCCTCCAGATCTTGGAGGACCGAACTCGCAGCGCGCCCACCAGCGCCCGTCCTCTGCCCTGTCTCCCCTGAGCCCTTTGGGCCCCGCGAACCTTCTGCCACCATCGCGTACGACAGGCCATGAGGAGCAGGGCCCACGTGCTGCCTGCCCCCCCGCTGTAGCGACCGACGCCGCAGGCAGGGCTCCTCCGCAGGGCTGGGCTGCTGCCCAACTACTGAGGCCTCTTGTCCGGCTGTCCCCTGAGCCAACCCTTTATCCCCCCAAGGAGGCTTCCGGTCCCCCAAGGGTTTCCCTGATTGCGTGAACAACACGTGCACACCTCCCAATGACCCCGCAGCAGAAAGGGCCGGCAGCGGCCCCACCAGCTACCCCGGCGGGGCACCTGCCACCAAGTGAGGATGCCGAGGGGAGGAGCTGGGCTGCACCCACTCGGGGCCCGCAAAAGGCAGATCTCCAACCTTGCTGATGCCCGCACCTGTAGGGCCAGTCAGGGGTGTCTCGCCAGCCTGCCCCTGCCACAAGGCCAGGTGCCGGCTGTCGAAATGGTCAGGCCGAGAGCCGTGCCGATGGCTTCACTCAGGAGGCTCATCTGAGGAGTCCGCAACCGCCACCTCATCTTGTGGCAAACATGCCGCCGCCGAAGACCGGTGTGCCCCTGAGTGGTGAGCTGCACCCCTGTGCCACTGCCGCCGCGGAGGGAACACAGAACCCATGTCCCCAGCTAGCAACTCAGCATGCCTGATCCCCGTCTGAGGTGCACCTTCCTCACCCACCTCACGCAGCCGACAGTAATGGCTCTGGAGCACCACTACTACGCCTTCAAGCCAGGCCACATAATCCCCCTCCGCGAGCGCCGTCGAGGCATCTCCCTTCCGTTGAACCACCAGAACGGTTGCATCCAGGAAGCCAACCAGGCCCTGTGGAAGGCCTGGAAGACACGCAGGAAAGCTTTCTCCGTAAGCCAGGTCGGCCAATATGTAGCCCCCCGCGTTAGGGTTAGGAATGACAATCATATTTTTTTAGGAATGACAACCATATTTTTATTGAAATAAAACCCTCCTACAGAAGCATCCAGCTCACCCCTAAAACTGGGCAGCTGGGCGTACACAAATAAAAACTCTACAAAAAAGGAACTACACTGATCTGGAAAACAACAACAACAAAAGGAATGGGGAACCCTCACTGTCTGGCAGAGTCCAAACGACTCCTCAACACAAGTCCACGGGCTGCCCAAAATAGCCCCGGTTAGGGTTAGGGTTAGGAATTCAGAAATTTTTTTTTAGGAATTCAGAAATTTTTTATTGGTATAAAAACCGTTCTACACCAATCCCCGGTGCTCTAAGCTCAGTGACCAGGGGCCAGACCCATTAAAACAGAAAGGAAGGCACGCCCCTCTCCCAACCCCAAAAACAATCTCCCCGCCAATGTTCTGGGGACACTCTGACAGTCCCCCGTCTCCGGTTCACAGCACCGGTGGTGGGCCATTGTTCTTCTGGCGCCAGGGCCACAGTCGCCACCAATGCTTCTCAGGGAGACACTCCCATTCTGCTTCCCGCACATAGGTGACACGGTCTGCGACGTCATCTGCCGCCTGCTCTGCTGAGTCATGCGGGACCGTGCCACCGTGGTGTTCCACCTCCAAGTGGTGGCACCGAATGGCACACAGGACGAAGAGGACCACGACGTTGATGAGCCGCACCATCGACCAGGGAACCCCAGCTGACCGGCTCCCCCTCGCCGCCGCCCCCCGCCCGCCCTGTGCCGCCGCCGCCACCATTCGCAATGATGGTCCTGCCACTGGCTGTTTCCGCTCCGCCAGGGCCTGCGGGACTCCTGGGGCCAACCATCGCTCCTGCGTTGCCCTCGTCAACCACTGCAACTGTGTCAACCCCGCGAGTGCCACTGCCTCCAACTCCATGACAGCTGCCGCTGTCGTCGAGGTCGTCCCTGGGCTCACTGCCGATGCCACCGCTGTCAGCTCCACTGCTGCTGTCTGCTCTGCTGCTGCTGTCCGCGCCGTTGTCGGTCCTGGTTCCGCTGTCGCCTCACTTCGGCGCCGCCCGGGCGTCTTCAGGCTGGAGACCACTGCCAGCAAACTTTGGGCCGCCAGTCGGGGCAGTGTCACCCGGTGTGCCATCGCCTCCCAGAATGCGCGGGCCACCAGGCAGGAGGACATGAAGTGCTCCACTGTGTCCTTCCTCGGCAGCCTGCCCACCAGTGTTGCTGCTATGCATGTTGCCCACGGGCACAGGCAGTCCCCTGCATCCAGTCACCAGGGCTGAGCACGTACCTCCCTGGGTACCTGGTAGAAAAACCGCCACCATGTTTCCTAGTACTCGTATGGGAGGCGGCGGTCCTGGAACTGCTTGAGGGGGTACGTGTATCCACCTAGGTATTCCGGCGCACTGCTGTCCGCCACCCTGCGCCGCCAAGCCGCCGTCTCCGGCGTGATGAGTGCTTGTTCTGCCGGATCGTTGTACAGCTCGCGGCACATCATGCGTCACCGAGCCCCCACTGCCACCCCTGCCTCCGCCGTCGACTCGCCCTCAGTGCCGGAGATGTAGGATGGCCAAAAGTGGATGGCCGGCACCTGGTACTGCCTCACCACCTCCGGCAGCTCCGTGAGGAAGCTGGGCAGGGCGACTCAATCTGCCGCCGAGAGGCGGAACTGCTGTGTCCTGCCTCGCCACCACTGCCACTTAACCCACTCCGTGCCCCACCAATGGGCCGTGAACATGTTCACCCAGAGTGGTGCCACCTCATCCAGTGGGCATGGCCGTGGCTGCCTCAGGCACCGTCCGTGTGCTGGGCGTGAGCTTCGGGCTCGGGATGCATGCCTGGCGCGAAAACTGGTGGCAGGCTGAGGAGGACTGATGGGTGCACATGGGCTGGCGCCACTGGTGGCTGGGCCTCTTCCAGTGGGTGCAGTACATGAAGACATACTTGTTTCCCCGTGTGCTCCCGCTGGCCCCTGTCTACCTGCCGCCGGAGGACTTCGTCTGCGAGGTGATGGTGCTGGTCTTTTGCTTTGTGTGGGGCATGGTGCACTTCCCAGTGGCCCGGGCGGTGGCCTACTGGCCCGTGGCAAACAGCGGGCTGGCCCTGCCGGAGCTGCACCTCTCGCTGTAGGCGGCGTTCCTCGTGCAGGACTTTGGAGTCACCACTCCCTGTTGGGGGGGCAGCCCCAGGTCAAAGTGGCGGCCATGGCAGCGGGTGCCACCGGTGCTCCCTGCGGGTATGGCGCAGATTCACTGTGCAGCGGCCTGGCCGGCCCGCTGTGGGTAGTGCACTTCGCATCACACTGGGCGTCCACTGAGTGGGCAGGCCAATGCTGGTGGCGGGGGGGCGGCCTGGCATTCTGCCTGTTGGTGGAGGACCACTGGCACCTCCCGGACTTCCTGTCCCCGCTGCCAGATGTGCTGCCCAGGTACAGCATTTCTCATCGCTCTCCTCCTCCTCCTCCTCCTCCTGCCCCCACCCCTCCCCCGTCCCTCCCCCTCCTCCCCCACTTCCCCTTTTTCTCCTTCTCTCCCCTTCAGGTGGCAGAGCGACGGTTGCAGAGGCTCGCTGGCAGCGCCCAATAGTACGAGAGGCGGGAGCTGTACGACAAGGCGCTGGAGTGGGCCGTCTTGCAGCCATGGTGGGAGCGGTGGTGCCTCGTCGATCGAGCCCTTCAGATGGATGTCGCCTCGTCGATCGAGCCCTTCGAGGACCGCCAGGTTCCCTACGCCCTCTGGGAGACTCGCTGGAGGTTTTTCCATGGTGTCCCACTGGGCGTTGCCGCTGGCGCTCTGTGGCTCTGCGGCATAGTGCGGCTCTGCTTGTGGGTGGCGTGCTGGGCAGAGGCGCTGTGGCTCGGCGAAGAGCGCGAGGACTCCGTTGCACATTTTGTGCACGACTGCCCGGTGTGCGCAAGCCATCTGGGCTGAGGTGGTGGGCCACCTGGACTGGCCGGACTTCTTGCGCCTTCCCTGGGGTGCTCTCGCCTGGGGCATTGAGCCGGAGGATATGGAGCCCCCCTTCCGTGGGCCGCGACACAGCACGGCAGCGGGCCCGGCAACGGCTGCGACAGTGGAGGCCAGTGATGCCCCGCAGTGGCAGCGCCAGCAGCAGCAGCGGCAGCAGGAACGACGGCCGTGGGATGGACGTTCGGTGCTGGGTGTCGTCCCCTCAGCGCAGGAATGCCCGGAGCCCGGGGAGCAGTCCGGCGGCGGCGGCATGGGGGACGCGGCACCCTCGTCCACGGGGGCTGCCCGCGCCACGGGGCCCCGTCTGCGCACGACGCAGGCTGTGCTGGGCGCATGCCTCGGGCACTTCTGGGCGGTGCTGTGGTCGATAGTGCGGCTGCTGGTCCTCCTGGTTCTGCAGGTACTGGTGGCAGACAGGCGGCAAGAACTGCCTCGTGAGCAGCAGTGCAGGACTCCGTCCCCAGACTGGTCTGCAGCCTGCGTGGTCGATGGAGTCCTCGCCTCCTTGGACATTGTTTGCGAGGTGGAGCGAGGACGCTAGCCTCTGTGCAAGTGGGCCCGCCTTTGGCCCTGGACAGCGGCCTCGGCTGATGGGCCAATTACGTGATGGGCTGCCGGCTTGTTCTTGACTGTTTTTTTCTGTTTGCTGCTGGACTGTGTTTCAATGTCGCAGTGGACAATGGGCCCTCCTGCTTGGTGAGGGTTTTTCCTCTACATTTTTCAGTTTGCTTTTGCTTATTGTTTCCACATGAGCCTGGCTTCCTGGTTTTACAGGAAGTTGGTTGACCTTGTCGTAGGGTTTTAATTTTCTTAATAAAAAATTGTGTTGTCCTAAAAAAAAAAAAATTGTGTTGTCCTAACCCTAACCCTAACCCTGGAAGGGGGTGGGTGTGTTTGTAGCTTGCTCCAGACCTGCAGCACTAAACTTCAGGATTTTGGAGGTGTTTGGAGGTCTGGTAGGCGATTTTGCTTGGTGGCCCCAGTTGGGGGAAGGTGGGGGGCACTCCCCTGTGAGAGGTGGGTGTTCCTACCTCCCCTTTTGGGGGAATACTGGGCATTTTGGGTGCTTGGGTGTTTTTCCCTGTCCCTTTATTTTGCTGGGCAGCCATTTTAAGTCCAGTTTTTCATTTACTTCCTGGTTTGTTCCCTTGGGTTTTTACTGGGGTTTTTTGGGGTCTAACTTTGTTTTTTTGGGGCATTTTTCTCCAGGGCCACGGGGGGTGCCCCTTGAGGGCAAGGGGGGTCATTGTTGGGCCCCTCCCCTCCGTTGGTAGCCATTTTTCCGGGTGAGTTTTTCCATTCTTTCCCCCTCCCTTATGTTGGCTGTTACTTTGTTGATTTCACCTGCAGGGGGGCATGGACCCCTTGTTGGCAGGGGCTGCTGGCTCCCCAGTGAAGTGGGGGGAGGGGGCAGGAGGCAGGGCCCCAGGAGGTGACTGGGCTGGAAATGCTGCCTCTGAGTGGCCTGCAGGCCATGGCAGCGGATGGGACTACTCGTGAGTCACTTCCCCAGCCGGCTCTTACCTATCCCTCTGAAGCAGAGATGCTGCCAGAGGTGGATTTGGAGGCGAGGGGCAGCCCAGCTAGTGCCAGGGAGGGTGAGTCCAGAACCCCTCACCCTTGAGCGGCAGCTGTGTCGCTTTTGGGGGTGCCGGGGCTGTCGCTCTGTCAGTCAGAGTGCAAATCACAAACACTCCTGTTTGTGCAGAGCGCAGCAAAAACTCCAGGAAAAGTTACCCAGGAAAGATACATATCAGCATTGCAGCTGTTCACAATGCAATGTCCATTTTTTGTTTCCCAAAGAAATCCAGTCAGAAAATATATACGAACTGGTGTTTATTGATAAAAATGCAGAATTCCATAAAATGCAAATATCATATAAAATATAAAGAAAAACACATCTTCTCATGTAATGTAGCATCCGAGACTTATTAGCAGCAAATGCAGAATTCCATAAAATGCAAATATCATATAAAATATAAAGAAAAACACATCTTCTCATGTAATGTAGCATCCGAGACTTATTAGCAGCACAAGCTTAACAAAATCTCTAGCTACACACTCTCAGAGAAGAGGTACACTACTTGGTAATTTGTTACAACTACGTAGTCCATAAAAATGATTACATGGTGCTATACTAAGCTAAAGCTACAAACACACACACTGAGACACATGCCAATAGGTGGCAGTAAATAGCACAATACACAACACACAATAACAGGTGTTTCTCACATGATCTCTGTA